GAAAAGAAAAGACCCAGGTTCTCACTTTAAAAATAAAAATGGACTTTAATGGTCCTCGCAACCACAGTAGCCAATTTGCACACAGGAAGGAACCACAATGACCCATAAAGTGAATGACCAATTTAACTGGAGGCAAAAAATGCTTTCTCTTTTCCAACAGTATCACAGCATCTTTAATGTCCATCTGTCTGTTTATCGTCCACCCACCCCCACCCAGGATAGTGCAGTTCTTCCTCAGTGACTCCATTGGGGTATCACCCTGGACTGGGAGCTCAAACCAACAAGCTCAGACCCAGAGGCGATAGCTCTACTGACTGAACCAAGCTGACATGACGAGGCAAACCACAAGCCTTGCAGCATCGAATCAAAGTACATTGTAAAGTTTGCTGAGCAACAACAACAACAACAGCAACAGCATTACATTTGCAAAGCACCTTTCACGTCGGGAGGACGTCCCAAGGCGCTGGACAGACAGCGTTTCGGACCCGAGCTGGGGGTCGGGGAGGGTGGAGCGGGGAGGGAGGCGGAAGCGGGGTGATCGAAAGCGCAGTCGAAGAGGAAAATCAACCGTAGACAGAAGCTCCCGCAGCAAGGGCTCATAATGCCACACTGTGTGAAACCAATTGATTTTTGTCACCTATTTTCCATAACTTCGTTGCCTCAGCACATTAAGACGGGGTAATCTTTTGGAGAAAATTGTTTTCATGATTGTCTGCACTATTAAAAGAAAATTGAACAGAGTATTTCACACGGAAATCAATACCAAAAGACAAAGGCAGCCGGCGTTTTAATTTTCTCCCAGCACATTAAATATGTTCCGTGGCATTCATAAGGGATCGATAGGAATCAAATAACATTTATGCACAGAGCAGGGCAACGCCAGGTTGATTGTAAACGATCACCAGCAACATTTACAGCCGTGTTTGTAACAATTCCATCACACAACCAGGGGTACCAGAGTAAGCGCTCAAAAGTGAAAAAAAAAGTGTAAGCCTGAAAGAAAGGTTACAGTGGATCAATAGATGATTACGAGCTTCACGAAACTCCCCTAGAGTTTGGACATCGGTACGTGTCTGATTCACAATAATAATAATGATGGCAATAATAATCCTTGCGTTTGATACAGCGCCCGATCACGTCGTTGAGACGTCTCAAAGCGCTTCACAGGGTACACTGTAAAGGGACCTGACTGGATATTTTGTGGGCGAAACACTTGCCTTGACCTCACAATCACTTGGACCTACAAGAGACCATTATCAACTGAGCCAGGCTTGGTTGGGACGTCGGCACGTTTCAAGAAACTTTGACGCAATTTGTTCATTTGATCTCTCCAGGCCCCTTCTCCTGCTTATTGCCTTCGCTCTGCAAACTTAGGGGTTACCTGCATGCCCCCCCCACTCTCTCTCTCTCTCTCTCTCTTTCTCTCGGTCTTCACCATCTGTGGATGAGCTTTCAGCAATTATGCCCCTGAGTTCTGGAATTCCTTCCCAAATATCTCGCATAGAAACCGGAGGAGGCCATTCAGACCCTTAAGCCTGTTCCATCATTCTATAAGGTCATGGCTGATCTGTACCCCAAGTCCAATTACCTGCCTTTGCCCTGTATCGCTTGATACACTGACCCAACAAATATCTATCCGTCTGAGTCTTGAAGCTGTGAATGGATTCAGCCATAATCCACAGCCTTTTGGGAGAAAGAGAGAGAGTTCCAGATTCCCATTAGCCTTTGGGTGAAAAACTACCTCTTGATTTCACTCCTGGCTCTGATTTTAAGATGATGCCCCCCTTGTTCTGGATTCCCCCCCACCCACCCACCAGAGGAAATAGTTTCTCTGTAGCTACCCTATCGAATCCCTTTATTATTTTCAACACCTCAATCAGATCACACTCTCAACCTGACACCATCTCTTTCTGCCTTCAAAAGCCTTGCAATAAACGTACCTGTTCCACCGTGGTTTCGGTCAACTCCCCCCAACTCTTTGCTTCCAGTCTTGCTCGCTCAGTGATCCACATCAAGCCCGTGAAGCGCTTTGAGACATTTTCCGACACGAAAGAGCCCTGTGTAATAAGTGAAAATTGTTGTTAATTCTTTTGCGTAATTTATTACGTTACACCAATTCCTTGAAGAAGCCGATGAACTTCAGAAAGACCGGGTCTTAACCTGAGGGCTACATTTCACAAATATTAAAGAGTTATTGATTTCCCCTGAGTTACATTAATAATTATACTCATAGCTTGCTTTAAATTTAGTGATGGATCACAAATCATGTCACTTTTTATGAAAACTCCAAAACTAATTTTTTGCTTTCCGGCATTGGATATTATTAAAACACGTGGTTTGTAATTAATTCCCCCCTCCCCACGTTCTCAGTTCCCCGTCCGGAGTAATAAATATAAACAAGAACGATCATTTCGATATGATGCAGTTACAGTATTTTTAACGTCGGAACATTTCAAAGTGTTTCCCGGGCGATTACTGTCAAGAGAAGTGACTGTATTTGTTGACGAACACGGCAGCCGAACAATGCACAGTCCGAACAACAATTCCCTTCACGTCGGAAAGACATCCCAGGGCTCTGGACAGTCAGGTGTTTTTGGACCCGAGCTGGGAGTTGAGGGGGTAGGCGGGATGGAGGGTAGGGGGGAAAAGTAGGGGTGGGTGGGTGGTTGGCCAAAGGCACGGTCGAAGAGGAAAGGTCTTTCGGTGGGACATGAAGGAGGAAAGAGAGAGGATGAGGCGGAGGGATTGCAGGATGGAGTTTCAGTGTGCGCGGCCAGAGATGCTGCGTGCCCAACCGCCAAATGTAAGTGAAATGCAAGGGACCTAAAGCAGGCCGGTGTCTGTCGAGCGGAGGGAGCAGACAGGCTGACAGACTGATAGTCACAAGCAACCGTGAACTGAATGAACGACCAATTTATTCGGAGAACAACCTGCAGTGGGTACCAAAAGCTGTAACAGAACCTCATTCCTGCAGATGTCCGTCTGTCTCCCTCCCGGGCACCCATCATTAACCTTCCCTGAGATGCGCTCCTAGGTACCAGGTAACGTGGCTGGTTCAATTCTGTTTCCCTAACCGGGTCCAGACAAATAACAGCTCCAGCTCAGTCCAAACCCACAGAGAAAAAAAATTAAAAACATCTCTGTGCAATTTTTACCCTCCGCCAGTCCCTGTAATTATTTTATTGATCCGCAAACAGAATTGAATTGGCAGGAGCTAAAGTGATATATGGTAAAGTCTCAGCTCGCTCTTTGAGACGTGGAACCAATGTTTTTTTCAAAGAATTCTACGCTGTTCAACAACAAATCGCATTTATTAAAAGAAATAGATGAATCCGAGTTAACTTAATCACAGATAACAGCCTGGCTCAGACAATCATGTTCACATTTCTGGCTCAGAAGTTTGTGGATTTGTCCCTTTCTTGTTTCTTGAGCTCAAAGTCCAGGAAAGAGAGGGGGTGGGACATCTTCAGATGAGTCCTGTAGCTCAGTGGTTGGAGCACTCGCCTCGCAAGCGAGAGGACCCGGGTTCGATTCCTGGGCGGGTCAGGGCGAAACCTTAGGCAAGTTTCCTTACTCCACACACAAGGCTCTGTTTACTTAGCGATAAGCAGGAACCTGTTAGTTAGTCGATTGGTGGATTGCTTTTCCGGGGGGTAATAATCCCTTAAAATCCCCAAACGAAGTAATAATAATAATAACTTTGGTCACTGAATCCAAGACTGTTTGTGGGACGCTGCTGTGCACAATTGGCTGCCGCGTTTCTCTCACAAAATACAGTGTCAATTCACTTTACTGTATTTACTGTAGATGTGATAAGTCACTATACCAAATGCAAGGATTATTATTGTTATTATTATCTCATGGCTATTTATGGGACCTTGCTGTACACAAACTGGCTGCAGCATTTGCCGACAAGTCACCAGTGTCGACAGGAATTACCCATAAAACATTCTGAGACATTACACGTTACATGCACTTTTTTAATTGGAAATAGTCAGTGAATTGCTAACAGGAGGGCATGAATTTAAGATCAATACCAAACAAAGCCGCAAAGTTTTTGTTTCAGTTGGGAAAATCTGGCAAAGGTTCGAGAGGCCAAATGGCCTCTTTCTGCGCTGTAAAACTCTGTGATTTTAAAACGTGGACGGGGGGGGACGGGGGGGGGGGAATAAAAGACACAAGAGCTGGTAGAATGGAATCAGTTTTTTTATTAAAAGATGTGTATTTATAGGCAAAAAAGATTGTCAGAGGCCATAGCTGGGCAGAGAGACATGAATGCAGTTTCGTCGAGCTCAGACCTGCCCAAGTCAAAGAGTCACCCACAGTTTGGGGTGACTTACACACATTGAAGCGAGAGAAGCAATTAAAGGAAGGGGGCAGGGAAGTCTTACTAATGAGAGGGAAAAATAATCCTTCCTTGCATTTGATATACAGCATTGGTGAATGTACAAATAGATCATTAGAAAGAAAACAAGCAGAAATCATTTAGGAAAAGCCGGGCACGGAGAACGCGGGGGTAAACCACACGAGACCCCAGCTGCAGGCTGATTATCGTAGCATGGCGCTGAGAGAAAGCTGTAGGGGGAAGGGATGATACAGGCCAAAAAGCTAAAGGAAAGAGGCGCATTGATTCAGCGAGCCTGGGTCCATTCCAGCAAGAGTGTAAAAGGAAATTGTACCTCACCTGTTGCTTAAGAATAATAATAATAATAATAATAATCCTTGCATTTGATATAGCACCTCATCAGATCTTCAAGACGTCTCAAAGCGCTTCACAGAATACTGTAAAGTGAAGTGCCTGCGCATTTTGTGACCAAACGAGGCAGCTAATTGCGCACAGCAGTGTCCCACAAACAGTCATGATTTGAGTGAAATTATTATTATTATCCTTAATAGGGATTGCTACTCCAGAAAAGCCATCCGCCAATTGACGTACAACTGGGTTCCTACTTACTGCTAATTAAACAGAGGCGTGTGGAATAAAGAAACTTGCCCATTGTTTTGTCCGGCTGGGAATCAAACCCAGGTCCTCTCGCTTATGAGGCGAGTGCTCTAACCACTGAGCTGGAGAACATAATCATTTAAGTACCATTCAAGGTTGCAGTGAAAAGGTCCTGAAAAAGGATAAATGCGGGTGGGTCACACAGAGCACACAGATTAAAGATAATTGGCAAAAGAACCAGAGGGGAGACGGGGAGAATTTTTTTTACACACTGCGAGTTGTTACGATGTGGAACACACGGCCTGAAAGGGTGGTGGAAGCAGATTCAATAATAATTTTCAAAAGGGAATTGAATAGATACTTGGAAAAGACGTGCACGGCTCTGGGGAAACAGCTGGGGAGTGAGACTAATTGGGTAGCTCTTTCAAAGATCCAGCACAGGCACCACGGGCCGAATGGCCTCCTTCTGTGCTGTTACCGTTAAGTAAACAGGCGTGTGGAGTAAGGAAACTTGCCCTGCCCGGGAATCCAACCCAGGTCCTCTCGCTTGCAAGGCGAGTGTTCTAACCACTGAGCTATAGGACTCCAGATAAATTATTCATTGACTTCATGGTTATTGGTGGGACCTTGCTGTTTGCCAACATAGGCACAATTACTACACATATTTCAAGACTTTTCAACATTGTTGAGACATCTCAATACACAGTCAACCCACTTTACAGTATATACTGTGAAGCGCTTTGAGATGTCTCAACAATAACAAATGCAAGGATTATTATTATTATTATTACTACATCAAATGAAGCCTCACTATTCGAAGCTGACGCAGATCTTCTGCCACAAATGCCAAAATAATATTTAACTTTACAACTAATTAATCTTCCCTAGTAAAGCAGCTTAAGATATGTATTTATTTCACTTGAAAGGCACTAGATAATCGCAAGTTGTATTTAAGACCTTGGCAGGGGCCGTTTAAGAAAACCAGGAGAATGAATGTTATTGGGTATAGTACGATTAGCAGTGTTGTATTTTCTCCGTGTTCTTTTTAAAACTTTGCAAACACCCTACTTTGTTCCCCACCGGATAATATAGAATTTTGTTTCTTTCCTCTAGAAACACTGGTCACGTCAGCTGAATTTGAACAAGATACATTGGTCTGACCACACAGTGCGAGCGAGGGTGGCCTTAGCGCATGCATGCATGTACACACATGCTTGTGCAAATATTAGCTTCCATAGAGATACTGCAGGCAATTTGCTGACTTCTGACACAGGTCTAAGCATCGTGAGCAGGTCTCCCTTGGCAGAGTTTAAACACTCCCTGTTTAATAGATGGATCATGCATTTGAAGTAAAATGCAGCTGCTCAGTCTTCGGACGTTGAGTGGTTTGTCCGGTACTTTTTAAAGTGTGTTGGAAAGAGGATTTGGGCAATTTACTGCACGTTTACCCACCAGCAAAGCTGCAAAGCTATGGCCATCTCTCTCAAAATAATAATAAACCTTGAATTTGTTATAGCGCCTCATCACGTTGTTGAGACGTCTCAAAGCGCTGCTCAGGATATATTGTAAAGTGGATTGACTATATTTTGTGGGCGAAATGCAGCAGCCAATTGCACACAGCAGTTTCCCACAAACAGTCATGGAGTGAATGACCAAATAGTTTCTTTTCTCGGCGTGATTATTACTGTCGGAAAGAGATTCGCCAATCGGCAAACAACTGGGTTCCTACTTACTGCTAGGTAAACAGAGGCGTGTGGATGAAGGAAATTGGCCAAAGATTTCGCCCCGCCTGGAAATGGAACCTGAGCGCTCTAACCACTCAGCTACAAGATACCACATTAAATCGGTTACTTGGTGTAATGGGAGGAACTGGGAAAACTTTACATTATTTACTGCAAAATACAAATCCCCAAATAATAGTTCTTGCTGTACGTTCAGTGATTTTGGAGGTAAACCTGTTTTGCGATTTCTTTTTTTTAAAGAAACAAACCTGTGGAGAATTTTGATACAGCGATGGTTTGCAGTCAGCCACTGATCAAGGATTTAGTATGCTCGCTGGTAACTTCCACCTGAACATCTAAGCCTTTCTCCAATCCTCCAAGCATAAAAATTTCACCGACTAGGCCACCACCACCACATCATGCTATAGTCTGAGTGGGACATTTCTTGAAGTATGAAATATCAATGAAACACTTCACACAGAACCCAATCCCGACCTGGGAGACATGGATGTGAGCAGTACATTCCAATGAGCATTGTACATTCAAATGCATTTGATGCAGCGCCTCATCGTGTCTTCGAGACGTCTCGAAGCGCTTCACCGAATGTACTGTAAGTGAGTTGACTGTATGTTTTGTGGGCAAAACTCAGCAGCCACAATTGCGCACAGCAGTGTCCCACAAACAATTGTGGATTGATTGGCCAAATTTTTTTTGTTGAAGGAATTATTACCCCTGGAAAAGCGATCGCCAATCGACTAAAAACTGGGTTCCTACTTACTGCTAGGTAAACAAAGGCAATAAGAAAACTTGCCCAATGTTTCGCCCTGCCGGTAATTGAACACAGGTCCTCTTGCTTGCGAGGTGAGTGCTCTAACACTAATCTACAGGACTTTATATCCATCGTATTCTGCAATTACGTAGCGACAGAGGAAAGCACACACGGTTCAGAGATACATCTATATTTTGCAGCAAATGTATGGCACTTTTTTCTGCCTGTCACGGGAGCTAGAATCCTCTCATGTGGGGCAGACAGCGAGAGAGACTGAGATAGTGAAAGATTGATAGTGAGAGCCTGAAAGAGAGACTGATAGTGAGAGAGACTGAGATAGAGAGAGAGAGAGAGACTGATAGTGAGAGAGACTGAGATAGAGAGAGAGAGAGAGACTGATAGTGAGAGAGACTGAGATAGAGAGAGAGAGACTGATAGTGAGAGAGACTGGGAGAGAGACTGAGATAGAGAGAGACTGATAGTGAGAGAGACTGAGATAGAGAGAGACTGAGACAGTGAAAGGCTGATAGTAAGAGAGACTGGGAGAGAGAGAGACTGAGAGATAGAGAGGCTGAGAGAGACACAGAGAGACTGAGAGAAAATATATTGAAGGACTCCTCCCACAGGAGTCCTGCCAGCAGACTATAGATAAAAGACAAAATGTCTGTCTGTCAATCTACATTTCATATTGGATCATTTGGTTGCAAGCAAAGCTGCAACAGGTACAGCTGATATATTTATATATAACTAAATAGAGGGGAATGTCACATTGCTCAGTACTAAATATTAATCCATTTTGCAAACCGCAAGCGTTCATCCGAGTAACCGAGGTCCCGATGGGCCTCTGAGCTCTAGAGACAGAGTAGGGTCAGGGATGAACACTACTGTCAGGTGGACTGATGAAGCACAACCATCTTGGACTGTCCTACAGAGTAAACTGTCAACATGCATGAATGCCAGCAGGCAGCTTGTGTCTTCGGAAGAAAATAAATAAATCCTGAATAATGACACCAAATCTGGCAACAGAATACCAAGCGATCGTGCAACAGTTTTCACCATCAGGTTTTTATTTGATTCAGACGGAACATGATAACATCAATGCAAGAATGAAGTTAAGCTTAACGCAGAGATCCATCATTTCATTTGTACATTAATAGGAAACCGATTGCCACCTTCCCCTTAGAGACAGTATCCGATTTTGCCAAGGGGAATTTTTAAGTCAATTGTTAATTTGTAACATCAAGAAATACTCCGGAAGGGCAGCTCACAATTCAGTGATGTGGTTCCCATCCAACTGCAGGGAACTGGCAGCTTTCTGACAGGGAAATAGGGAGGGGGGGGGATTGAGGTAAAGAATTGGGAATGTGAGATACTCAACTGACAATTTGTATGGATCTTACAGGGACAGATTCAAAGGGTGTTTCCGTGAGCACAACTAACATCATTCCTCCATTGACAGCAAAGATGCAAGTGCGGAGAGAGAGAGAGAGCTGGACTGATATTTTTTCTCCCACAGTGAGGTAGTCAGTGGGACTTTGTCAGTGGATAGCTCCTTCAGAGAGCCAGCAGTTCTGATGGGCCAAATACCCCCCTTCTGCGCTGTAAAACTCTATCGATTGTCTCCACACCAAGGTAAGAGAAAGCACATGAACTTTGTTGGATTAAAGCAATCTCCTTTTATTGCTAAATCCAGCACCGACTGCTGCCTGAACTGGTTCTGAAATACGAAATCTATGAGAACATCAATTTTCCTTCTCTTCCCTTGTAGGTCCACCAGCAAACATAGAACAGACTTCTGTAACGATCATACAACTCAGTAAAGTGAGATTATGAAGAACAGTGCGCGTTTAATTTACGACTGTACATCACAAGAGAAAGGCTCAATTGGAGTTTAACACAGTCAGATCAGAATGAAGGAGCCACCGACAAGGAAGCAGATTTGATCTGTGAATTGGGTCAGGCCATTGATGATAATAATAATCCTTGCAATTGATATGGCGCCTGATCACGTCGTTGGGACATGTCAAAGTGCTTCACAGGATCTATTGTAAAGTGAATTGACTGTGTATTTTGTGGGTGAAACGCATCAGGCAATTGTATTTATACTTTACAAGAGCGCCCCGTCTTTCCCTATCCCCCTCGATTGTGAAGTTAGTATACTGCACGGTGAACTGAAAGCAGGCAAAACACCTTACCAACCAGAGGTTTCAATTAATGCAACAAATCCGGTTTGCAAATAATGTAATTCATATAGTACTTCAGATACGTTGCTGTAAGAACTATAAATTTCAGCTTGTGCTCAGCAATAAAAAGTTCTGGTATGATCCAGAGGGTGAGATGAAATTGTCTTTTTGGAATAACGGATAGTTAAATAGAAGTACTTCGAATATAGAGCTCCTTAATATTTCTCTCAACGAGCAAAACCTTTAAGTGAAGGACAAAGAGGGTGAAATGTGCTCAAGTGGAAATAGAATCCTGGAGAAATTAAAGCGATTTTAGGGTTGAATGGATGGGACTAAACTGATTTAATATTGTTTCCCAAAGCTTCAAAATAGGATACTGTCCCATAAAGATGTTGCATTTGAAAGATTACACTTTGAAATGCATTTACAGCATATAGTTCCTACGTGCTTCGCATAGTGGGATGTTAAGATCAGAAATGGTATCAAACACAAAAATAAACCATCTTATTTTTCGTAGACAATTACCCATTTTGAGGTTTCACCTCCCGTGGTTACAATGCGATTCGATGCAAAGAGACAAATTTTCAAAAATTAACAGATGTCAGATCTGTGCAGAGAAAAAAGACAATTAGTTTGGCAAAGCATGGCAAAGGGTTGAAACTGCTGCATCGGGGTGGGGGGGGCGGGGGGGTGTGGTGACTAGTTGTGGACAGAAATAAATGTCTCCGTAATAGCCATGCCTTCCACCAGACACGGTCAGAGAGGTCGATATAGCTCTGGTTTGGTGCTGAGTGAGTAAAAAAGGGTATAAAAGGCTAATTAAAAAGCTAGCGTCCCAGACAGATTGTGGGCACCTCCATTGCACGCTTTAGCACCATAGGAGGTACAAGTTGGACCACATGCACCAACATTTTGGTTCTGAATTTGCTTTGACATTGGAGCCACAGATTTACATTAGGGTTCGAAGGTTAAATAATGATAACGGCCAATTATTCAATTGAAAACGCAAGGAAATGGAAGAAGTCTGTCCTTCAATGACCCTTCTTGTGTTTGAGGCCTCAATAACGCAAGTGGTTTTCACAGTAAGCCGTTTGTGGAATGAAAATTTCCTGAAAGAGCGCACTCCTTGTTCCCTCCAGTGTAAACAATTCGTTAAATCTATGGCAGCACAAAGCAAGTGACCCTGTCAAACAGAAAAGCGGCCAGCTGAATTGAATCACTTCAACCCAGTTCCCAGCACGGGATCTTTCAACCCAAGGTTTCCACTCTTAACTCCTGCACACTGCGAGATGCACTTTCTGCTGATAAAACTCCAGAGGTACCATTCATACATTCAATCCAGATAAGATTCTACGTTTTCAAGAACAACACGACGATGAGAAACAAAAGCCATACAATAATTCAAAACACCAATTTAAGGACGGCAGGTTAATTATGTGCATATCAAAAATTTATATTTTTAACATTATGAATCGAGAGAAAAATACAAGTAAGTAGCTTGCTGTGCATTAACGTTTGCCACCACTGGGCCAATAAAATTGGATTTCTCAGGCAAGGATAAAATCTTCCAGACCTGTCTCCACGTCTGCAGTAACTCTATTAAAGCCTCCTTAAGAACTGATGCATGTTATAAAGGGAGAGGCAGTCGGAAATGGAATACAAGGCAGCTGGATCAGGGAAAGTGTTTTGTAAAACGGGGATTTCAAATCCCTCATCTGAACTGTAGCACTGAGCTTACACCTAGTGTAAACGTGGAGCGGACACCGGGTTTTGCTACTGAAGTTGCTGAGAAACTGCTTGATCCAGATTTTCAAGTCTCACACCTCGCCTCAAGCTGAGTTTTAGGACTCAATCAAGAGTCCGATGAATGAGACAAAAGTGAAGAGCTTCTCATTCATTTACAATCACCCGATTCACTTTTGCTCTGTGGAAGGCAAATGCACCGTTGTAGACTACAGTTGCCCAGCCTGGGCATAGGAATTGGAAGACCCTGGTTTTCCAGTGCTTTAAGATTTCAAATGGTGGATCTCAATGGTTATCTTGTAAGGTTTTTTTTTGCATTTCTCCCCCGCCTCTTCCTCACCTGAAGGACGAATGCCCTGCAGTGAACTTCATCCAAATGGCCATTCTTCGTCAGTAAACCCAGAGAGAGTATCAGTAGGTGGCTCGATTGAGGGACATATCACAGTTGCCCTTGCCCAACAACCACATAAAATCATTTCTTAGCAGAGATACCATGGCTGAGAAATGCATGGACAGAGACTTGAGCTTGAGAGCTTCTGCTCTGCTGTACTCTTGGGCAACACTGGACACTGTTACTGTGCCTCCCAGTACTGTGGTGAATGCCGTCACCTCAAAAGGAACAGTACAGACACGACAGCCCTCCTTCTGTACCGAAAATGTACATTTATTTCTACGAATAAGCCTAATTTTTAATACATCTCTTAACAAGTTATCGATCAGACACTGGTCTCTCACTCACAGCAGCTCAGGTGTGTGAATGAGTTGTTAGTCCACTCCAGGAGCAATAACCTACTCCCCCAGCTTATGGCAAACTCCCATTCGGCACTTAAGAGTCTGCAGTGACTGACCTTGTTTGCTCCTGCCAAGAGTGAAATGACCGCTGGATACATCAGGCAATGTTGAACGGAGGAAAAACATGGAAACCCAGATAGAGTAATAATTTCTTGATGAGTTGAACACTCAAATCTGAAGAACATTTATTGTGCTCAAAGCCTCACATCACCCACAAGGCAACCCAGAAAAGTCATGTTGAGTATTGTCCACATAGTGGAGACAGGTCCCTCAAATAATCGCAATCAGAGTATAGATCATATTATACTCTGCACAGCTAGTTAATTATAATGCACATCTTACGAAATATCTGAGCTGATAAAACGGGGTTGGAAATTTAAAACGCATGTACCTCTAGCTACTGTTTTTACCTTGCACTGAGATCATGATTCACAATGAATTGATAAGATACTGTAAATCAGCAGAAGTAATGCTAGGGAGTTTTAACACTGAAGCGCCACAATTCCTTTAATACCATGGTAGCAAAATGGCAGCTTGTGATGGAACGTGGCAAGTGAGAACTTGTTAACTTGTTGTCACTTAATTTGGATACCCTACTCCAGAAGCAAATAATTCCCTTCCCCATCCCTCTTATACACAGTGGAATCCTCTTTAGCCGGACGCATCGGGGCAGGGAGTTTTACCCGGTGACCAGTAACCCAAGTTCTTGCCTTTCTCTTCTCACCGTCTCCTCTGCTGAGCGCCTCTTCCCTCCCATTGACATTCCCATTAGATGGGAAGGGGAACCAATTAGGGGCGGCTCCGGGAAGCATCAATCACCTTGGAGCCGCTGCTAACTGGCCTTTTTTGGATGCAGTCACTGCCCCCCCACCCCCCGACCCGCTTGTGAACAGGTTGAGTCTGCTGTCAATCAATCACGATTTGTCTCCTCCCATTCCCACTCCCTTCATTCTTTCCCACTCCTCCGCCTTCTCACTGATTGACAAACCAACTCCAGCCGCCTGTGAATGGATGGATTCCGTTGTCGAACGCAATGGGACTCCTCCCATCTCCATCCTGGAACTGCTCGAGAGACAGAGCACATTCGGCAGTGACTAGCGCGGCATTTTGCCTGGATTAACTGGATTTTCGTCCGAATTAACAGGCGTATTTCAATCAAGTAAGAATACAAATGAACTGGGAGCCCGGTGTTTTATTTGTTTTACCCAAAGTTCGGGTTAACCAGCGTCCAGCTACAGCGGATTCCACTATGTTACCTGACAAGTTAGCCAGCCTCCAGAAACTAACATTTTTGAGATGAATTTATAAAATCTCCATTGCTGTAGTTTATGTTACTGACCTTTAACACATTTCCCTTCACATCTTTGCCCCACCCCACTGTAAGTGTGAAAAACGATCAAAGTCCATACTCAAGTGACTAAAACTTACTTTGATTTCAAAATCAAGTGAAGTCATTCAAATTTATAAAGTCGGAAAAAGAAAATTTAGAATTAGATTCACAATGTAAACAGTGACGTTAGAATGAAACTGGTCGCCAGATCAGGTCTGATGATGCATATGATGTTCACTCACACACGCCTCTCTCAAAACCAGCATTAAGACACAGCCCACTTTTCCAGTTTTCTTTGTGTTTCATATTTAGTGGTCTGCAAAGCCGGGCATTGGGAAAGCCCGAGCAAATTTCTCCACCCTTTGTCGAAGTTCAGCTATCTTGGACTTGGTCTCCGCATCATTCAAGAGGAAGGCCTTGAAATCCTTCAGGTTACCTGCAGAGTTAAACAGTAATAATAATAATCATACTCCATGCATTTGATATAGGTCCTTACCACATCGTTGAGACATTCTAAAATAGAACAGGCACATCAATCATTGGGAGTATAATGCAGAGGACCTACCACATTTGCCTTAAAAATTCAGTCACTCACTGGGTAACAATTCTCGGTGAAGTGTTTTGACATGTTAGGTGCTATATCAAGCACATGGTTACTTCACTCAAACATTAAGGGGGCACTTTGCCAATCTGCCTCAGGAATTGTTATAGTTGGGTGGTACAGAGAATGTGATGAGGCAGAATAATAGTAATTCTTGCATTTGATATAGTGTCTCAACACGTCTTTGAGATGTCTCAAACCGCTTCACAGGATATACTGCAAAGTGTAGTGACTGTGTATTTCGTGGGCAAAACAAAATGAAAAAATCAGCTGCGACTCTTCCTGCGTACCACATACATCAAGTTACAAAGTACTATTGCTGGAGGCATAGAAACAGGTTATTTCTAGCGATGAGGTTAGCGCTAACTAGCGCTTGTATAGTGAGTTACAGTCAGATACATGTACAGCAGTTTTTCAGTAAATGGTTTCAGCCCACTTTAGACTAAATACTCCCACCCAAAGGGAGCCGAGTTGACATTTACAATGTCAGGTACTAAATGAAAATCGCCAATCTTTTCTAATCCCAGGGAGTAACCACTAAGCACGTGATAATGTAGTCTGCCACGTGAACTCATGAGAACACAGGAAAGTACAGACACAGATAGTGAAATGCAATCTTGCGTTAAATTCACTCAAAGTGAAACAGGGCAACGACCTTCTGAGTATATAATAATAATAATAATCTTTGTGTTTGATTATAGCGCCTTATCACATCTTCGAGACGTCTCAAAGTATTTCACAGAATATACTGTAAAGTGAATTGACTGTATATTTTGTGGGCGAAATACAGCAGCCAATTGCGCACAGCAGCGTCCCCACAAACAGTGGATTGAGTGAGCAAATTATTATTGCTATTATTCGTTTTATGGTGTGGTGTGAAAGTAAACCATCAGAGCAACCCAAGAAGAAACGGGCCATTCAGTCTGTCAGGTCCGCCTTCATGTGTTTCTCCCCACCACATGAGCCTTGTAAAATACCCCCATTCTCCTGCTGACTCCCCATAACCTTTACTTTTTCTTTTAATTTATCGAGCATTTTTATATTCTAAGCAGCTCAATGTGCAATCAGGCTAATACCATGTCTGTACTGAGTCCATCCACCTCTCCAGCATCAGGTCCTTAGTATTAAACATTAAAAAGATAATAACAATTTGGTCACTCAGTCCACGACTGGTTGTGGGACACTGTAGTGCGCAACTGATGGGTCACATTTCGCTCACAAAATATACAGCCGATTTACCTTACAGTAAAGGGCTTTGAGACGTCTCAAAGACCTGATAAGGCGCTATACCAAATGCAAGGATTATTATATTATCTCCCACACACCCAATTAAATAACCGACCAACTGATATATAGTTTTAAGTGAATTTGCAAGAGGAAGTATATTGGCCAGGCCACTGGGAGGACTCCCTGCTCTTCTTCCAATTAGTGCCGTGGGATCTTTAACATCTGCCAAAATAGGCAGACAGAAGCTAGTTTTAAAGTCTCGTCCAAATGACAGCACCTCTGAGAGAATGCAGCATTACCTTCGTACTGCACTGCAGTGTGCTCGTGAGCTCCTGGTGTCAGCACTCAAAACAACATAACCTTCTGACCCAGCGGCAAGAATGTGACCAACTGAGCTAGACTAAAAATAATTCTCGCATTTGACATACCGCCTAGATTGTCAAAACATCCAAAACACTTCACTGGAATTGTAATGGTTGCATATTTACAGGCTATTTGATACCGAATCCAACAAACAAGTAAATGATTAATTTATCTGCAGGGTTATTAGCCAGATCATCTGGAGAAATTCCCTTCTCTTTTCCAGTATTGTCTGGAAATTATACCGGATCATTAACACCTGAACAGCCAGATGGGGCCTCGGTTTAGTGTCTTATGTACAGTATCTGTCATTGCACTCCTGCCAGTTATCAAACTGAAATGCCAGCGTCTTGAACCCACAACCTTTTGTCCCAGGGAAAGAGAACTGCCACCTGAGCCAAGCTGACACCTTCATCTTCAATCAAAGATTGAATGCTACATCTTCAATCAAACTGAAACAGTCCTTAGGTAAGAAACTACCTTTGAAACGTTATCTTACCAGTCTTAGTCTTAACGTCCAAAGCAATTTTTATTCCTTGATCAATGAACTCCACTACTTTTTCAAAATCAGCTTCTTTGAAATGTCGAGATGTCAGAGCAGGAGCACCTGTCAGCAGTTAAAGAAAAAAAAAGTTCAGGAAAAGGCAATCCTTTAAATGGAAACGCTGAAAAGATTTTGACTGTAAGAGTGGAACAAGATGAGTGTACGTTGATAACGCAACAAATAGTAAACTTTTTTTGGGCAAAATTTGTTTAATAATAATAATCCTTGCATTCAATATGGCGCTTTATCATGTCATTGAGGCATCTCAAAGCACTTCACAGAATATATTGTAAAGTGTATATTTGTGGGCATGCAAGACAACTCTCCACAGGACCCGCTCACCAGTGAAACGTACTTAGAGGAATTGAAGTCTAAAGCACATGCTTCTTGGTTTGATATAATCCCAGATGGAGAATTTAAAACATGGTTATAAAAGCTATTGCTTCTGTTATTAACAGTATCTAGCTCTGGCTTTCTCCCTCAACGGAGCAACATAGTAAAGGAGGGAAAAAAGAGTCCCAGAGACTGTTAAAATTTAAAGAAGTTTCCTTGCTACAGGGAACAAGTACTTTTACAATGTTTTCTCTATATCTAGAGAAATTAATTGGGAACAGAACAACAAGGTTAAGCCACCGAGTCCATCAAGGCTGTTCAGCAATTTTGTTACGCCATGGCATATCTATACATTTTCTCTATCTCCTTTAATATTATTTTTACTTCCTATGTATCTGTATCACTTTTAAACATTTCAATCCTTTGGATAATAATAATCCTTGCATTTGATTATAGCGTTTTATCGCCAAAAAAAATCAATAAATAATAAATTGGGCACTTCAATCCACGACTGTTTGTGGGACACTGCTGTGCGCAATTGGTTGCTGCGTTTCGCCCACAAAATATACAGTCAATTCACTTTACTGTATTCTGTGAAGCACTTTTGAGACCTCTCGAAGATGTGATAAAGCGCTATATTAAATGCAGTGATTATTATATTATCACGTTATTGAGATGTCTCAAAGTGCTTCACAGAATATATTATAAAGTGGAGTGACTGTGTATTTTGTGGGCGAAAACTACAAAATATCTACAACCTTCTGAGGCATTTCATTCTCACAATGAAGAACTTCATTCTGTGAAGAAATGTTTTCTGATCTCGCTTCTAGGTGGCATCTCTCTAGTTTTACATTTGTGTCCCCTTGGTTTGACTCGATAATTCCCTTCGCTAAATACTTCAATCAGAATACCCCATTACCTCCTTATCTTTAGAGAACACAAGTTTACACATTTTATCAAAGCTAAACCCCTTCAAACCAGACACTGTATTAATTTGGTTAATCGCCCTCCAAGACTATTTTATCCTTCCTAAGATTAGGTGCCCCAAACTGAATGCAATTCCGTAAATAAGGTTTGACTAGCACTGGATTGCGACTGTAAATCTAAACAGGAAATACTCCTCCCGGACTTAATTTTGCTTTAATCTGCTTTCTCGTGCCACGTTTCCTCTTAAATAAAATGACCCAGTTTACTGAAAAAGCAACATAGTCTATTCTTTCCTGCTTCATAATCAAGATGCCACGTGAATGTAAGTGTCCTGCTCGACCTCACATGCACCCTTAGGCAGAATCTCTCACTGAGCTCACTCTACCCTGCAAATTGGGACTAAGCAAATTAAATGTCTTGACTGTGTAATTACTGTAATAAGACATCAGGCTGAAGGGAGAATGTTGGGAGTCTCAAAGCAAAAAAAAAATATCCAGCAGCTGATACTGAACTTATATAACAATTTTCAGAGCAAGCATATTCATTTCTTTTTAAAAAAGAGCTTAAATAAGAAACAGAAGGGGCAGACTTGACTAGCAAGTATGAACTAACCCACTAACCCAGCTGCCCCTAAGGCTAATGAAAGTTACCTAATCTCAAGCCTCCAGGGGTCAGAGCACTCTTGTCACCAGGACATGTGTTCTTGTTAGCAGTGATGGATACCAGCTCCAGTACTCTCTCGGCCCGGGCACCGTCCATACTCTTCGGTCGCAGGTCCACCAATACCAGGTGGTTATCTGTTCCTCCTAAATAATAAAAGCGTTGCCTTGTTAAGATCGTCATCAATATTGACCGCCACATTTCTGTACAACATCCTGTTCATAACAGGACTCAACAGAGACTTGCCAATTTGGAGCATTTCTTAGGAGTCAGAACTCTTCTCTTGATTCCAACTTGGTAACAGCCAATTCTGAACGTCCCTCCTTTGATATGCAGATACTCACTCACCTTACTCATTCTCTATGTTATCCATTTCTGTCTGTTAAAGGGACGTTTGATTACACAGCTTGTACAATAATCTTGAAATCTCTTCTCTCATTTATTTTTCCTTAGATTTTCCTGGCTTTGTCCCTGCACTGTCTGCTTCTTCCAAAGCTGCTCAGACATTAACAGCTTAAAGGGATCAGAGATCAGAACACTCCCATTTCCTACTCTGGTCCTCCACTGAGGACCTCCCAATTGGTGGCAAGGATAAACGTAATGGTGTACCATTAATCCCCAAATCCCACCACTCTGCAGCGTAGGGGGGGGCCAAGCTGCCAACATTGAACTCCACTCACACACCAGGGCTTCAATATCTAAGCCCCTGCCCTGATTAACAATAACAAGATATATTTGTATAACGCCTTTCAGGTCAGCATGCTGTCCCAAGGCGCTCAGCAATCAGGGATTTGGACACGAGTTGGAAGTTGGGATCAGGAGGGGTGGAGGGCAGGGAGGGTGATTAATCCCCCACACATATACACTGACTCCCAACAGTGGATCGCTTGTAGAACAGATACTGCATAAAGAAACCACCAATTTCCAATCATTGATTTAGATGCTTCAGGCTAAACTCACCAGATACCAGAGTGAAGTCTCTGCTCAGCAGTGCGCCAGCCAAGGCTTTGGCGTTCTTCAGAACCTGCTGCGAGTATTCCTGGAACATCTGAGAGTTTGCCTTGAAGAGAAAATGGAATCACATTAAATGAACAAGATGCTGCACAGTTCAAAGCTCACCTGCTAAACCTATAGAACGGTAGATGTACAGCTGCACAATATTTATTGCATTGGATGGGACAAGTGACCAAAGTAAGCACTAGGTTCACACAGAGTACTTGGTGGCAGTGCAGCGCAGAATAAGCTTGGATGTAGCTTAAACTTGGAAAGGGGCCACTGAGAGCATTGGATAAGAGAGAAGGCAGACTACTGTAAAACTGACAGTAGTGTTGAATTTTAATATTATGTTCCTGCAATTATCTGTACATAACCAAGCACGCACAAATCCTGTATGATAAAGAGTGTGGATAAGACCACAAGGGCAGTTTGTTGCACCCGGCCTGGGGCTCTCAATCCATTAGAGGATTATGCTTCAAACGTTTTGTAAGCAGAGGGGGGGAAAAGGAGGGGATAGGTCACTCTGTGTGATGTGTAGCAAGTTGATTTTCCCCATGCATACCCAGGAGAACAATTTGGAAGCTACTTTTATTTTCAGGAACAAAAGTTGGGAGGCCAATTTTTTTGGTCAGTAGTGGCGGATTGATTCATGGAATCGCCAATGCTAATTGTCAAATAGGTGTGACGTAATCATGTTCCTTTGTAAGGACAGAAGAGCCACTTAACTCTAAATTACAGCACAATTATACCCACGTATACACGACCTCAAGGGTTCCCCTGAAACTTATATTTCTAGTAACAGACCAGTGGCTCAGGCACTTTGTTTTCAACCAGTTGCACTTTTTCCAGTTGTGAAGATGGGCTGCAGGGAAGTTTTACAAATAATTTGGGGTGGACAGGGCATGACTATCACCAGCCACCCCCCCACTCCCACTCCAAAATGCTCCAGCAGTTTTTAAATGGGGCCCAGGTGATCTTGGTCCTCAACGCATTCTTGAATGAAGAATGATTAATGGCCCAGACCAGAGGGTAAACACATTGCCTGGTGTAGCAATAAGACAGAAGGTTGCAGGTTCAAGTTCTGGGCTGTGCTTAAGCAAGTCAATGGGTATTTGTATACAATTGGGTACAACACCCCTAGGCTGGGGGGGGGGGGGTGGGAGAAGCAGACAGTGCTTTCCCTCCCAATCCCTATTTAAGATTGAATCACTCAGGGATGCAATGTGTATGTCAAGCTTGAATTGTGTAACGATGACCTCAGTGGTTGAAAAGATCCACCGTCACTGACGGTGAAGCGGTCTCTGTACAGTGCTTTGAGACGTCTCGAAGACTTGATAAGGCACTGTGTCAAATGCAAGGATTATTATTATTAATATTTATTTCTGATTTGTGAGCCCAAAGAGGAGTTAAATCCATGTGAAATGTTTGGGGAACTGCCCAGGCTGGAGGGATGGTGCCAGAAGGCAGTTAAGCCTTGCAGCAAGTTTAGCCCCCATTTATAATAATGAACACCAGCCAGGTTTAGAAAGATCTGCCGAAGCAGTTTTTTATGATCAGAATTTGCAACAGTTCTTAAAAACTGTAATTACCAAACTTATCAATTCACCTTCCATTCGTCCCTGTAAACACATTTGTTCAACTCCCAACAGGATCAGGGGGAGAAAAAAAAAGCCTCAATTTTGTTGCTCAATGAATTTCTAAAGCAGTGAAAAGTCCATTTTTTTTTAATATTGGATTCTGCATTCCTTAGACTTTCCACAATCCTTGTAATGCCCTAAAGCAGCAGCTCCAGTGTAAGCCGATTGACCCCAGTATGACTGCCAAGCACTTAAAATACACCCGGGGTGAACCAGAAAACATTAATTAAATGGGTTCTTAGTAAAGACGTCGATACCGTGAGATCATCACAACTTTATTTACTAATGGAAACTCTCATATGGGACAAACAACTCCCGACATCATATGTTCCCATTAACGATTTATTGCTACTCTATTGGCAGTATGAAAGGGAGAGCCCAAGCATTGCTATTCTCCTGAGTGACTACCGCAATCTTAAATATACTGCATTGCAGGCTCAACCATGGTATTATTCATCTAGTTTATTGATTAATTCATCTTTCATCTTTTGGACGCTTGTCGGAAGCTCCGAATATTTTGTTTAAGAGCTGTAATTAAGTAGGTTTTCCCCTCTCACAGTTTTCACTGTAAAACATAGTTTATCTCACAAATCTTCACATGGAATGGAACTCATTGTGCAATTGGAATAAAAAAAAACTTTGTCCACGCTGGTGCATGGGCAACAAAGCACCAATTAATGTCTGGTGCGATCGGTTCACAAGAAAGATGCCCCTCATTGTGATTGGGACATGACAGTCTTAAGTTTGCCTGTAGCAAATAGTACCAAGTACGGTATTTCCTAAATGTACAGGACACAGGAGGGATTTGAAGTACTAATGAATCACTGGAAACCATCAGCACAATATGTGGCGTATAGTTATGGTTGTTGAGTTAGAGGGACATTCTAGACCTTGGACAGGATACAATAAAGGTCAAAATACGGCAGATGCTGGAAATCTGAAATAAAAACAAGATGACGCTGGGAACACTCAGCAGGTCAGGTAGCATTGATGGAGAGAGGAAAGTGAGTTAACGTTTCAAGTCGATGACCTTTCGTGAGAACTGGTCATCGAAAGATCATCGACCTGAAACTTTAATTCACTTTTTTCTCGACAATGAATGGCAAATGGATTGATGCTCCATTATACACTAGAGTTATAAGGAGAGGCTACGAAAACTGAGAACGTTCACTTATAAAAGAGGCTCAGACAAAACCTTATTAAAGTATTTAAGATCTTCAAGGGGTATACAATCCGAACCCTAACAATATGCTTAATATGGCCAAAAAGTCTAGAACAAGGGGACATCTACTTGAGCTTAGAAGAGGTCAGGATGAACATGGTTCAGATTTAATCCTTTAACATTAGAGAGTGACAAATATGTTGAACGGACTACCAAGGAAAGAGACTGCAATAGCAAATTCAAAAGGGAATTATATAGCTAGTGAGAACCAGTTACAACATAGGTCCATTTATAATATGGTCGCTGGAAAAGAGAAGGTTGAGAGGTGATATGACTGTGTTTTTTAAGACCGTAAAGGGACTGGGTAATGTAGGTCACGATAAGCTGTTTTATCTTGTCTAGAACAGTAGCAACAGAGGACACGGCCTGCAATTGAAGGGGGGTAATTTCAAAAGAAACCTGCGGAAACACTATTTCAGTCAGCGAGTAGTAAAGGTTTGGAACAGGATCTCTAGAGAGACTGTGGCAGAAAGTGTTGATTCTTTCAAAAGCAAGTTTTGATAAGATTTATTTTAGGAAATAATATCATGGGATGCAGTATATAGGATTGGACAGGATATGTGCATGCAACTGCCAGGATGGTGAAAAGTGAACTGTATGGACCTTGGTTCTTCTAGCAATTCTCATGTTCTTATATCCACAAGCGCAGAATATTTCCAGTTTACAGCTGGGTTCTTGCAAACGGCTCACAAAAGGTGTTCATAGCATCAATATTGCACAAGAAGCTGGCCAGTCAACACTGAAAGATGGAAGTGACATCAACATTGACCTGCCATCCCGGTAGCACCGACCAGCTGCCATTTTTATAACGCACTGTGCAAAACTGTTTTCAAACTAAATGAAGAGCATCTAAAACCAAGTGTAAAGATAGTCGGGATTGGCTCTAGTCTGACTGGATTCATACTGCAATCTGTGCCATTGATTCCATTTTTAAACTACCTTCATGAGGTTTCAGAAATGGGACTAAATCAAAAAAAATCAATGTTTTTTCCCCCAAAAGTAGATTTATGCTGTACATTCAGCATCTATTCAACACAGAATTGGCACTAAAGGTGCAGGACAAATGGAGCATCAATCAGATGCCTGTGGTACTTGCAAACGAACTTCACTAATTCAATTGCTGGTGTAATGCTGCAGAGGCCTCGAAATCTATAACCACTCTTAGGTCTATGCAAGGCTAATTTAGCTTTTCTGCTTTAGGGCTATGGAGGAGATATTCATCCTTAATTCTTTCAAACCCACCAGCAGTTCTCTGACAAACCATTAGTGGTTCACATGGGCAGACAGACTAAAGCGGCAATGGGTTCAAGTGACTCTGAAAGTCTAGAAACTTTACAATAGCATGGATGCAATTTCCTTCAGACATCTCCACTCACATCATGGATCCTCGTGGCTTCTTTTATTTCTATGGATCTGAATATTTCAGACAAAGCAGCAACATAGCAGTGACCCGGCCTGACAGTTCAGGTCAGAGGATGTTCACTTCAACCTGCCCAGCGCTACTGAACTATCAAAAGCCAAATAATAACCGAATTTGTAAAAACTAAAACATCGATGAGGACTGAATGATTACTAACATTGCTGTCTGCAGAACTTTCTGCAAACTGAGATTAGGACCTCATTACCTCAAAGCGACTTCATGTAATGGGTTAAGGTGCAAAGTAAGAAAACAAGGCAACAACGTACCACGAAATAGAATGAGATGAATTAACCATCAATTCTTTTTTGTTGCCAACATAAGTCAGTACACTACAAATAACTCACTGTGTGACCCAACTAGAGATATTCCAACTCGTGTTAAACTTACATAAGTTACTGGATCAATTTGTAGTATTAAATAATAATGCTTGCATTTGATATAGGGCCTTATCAAGTCTGCGAGACATCTCAAAGCGCTTCACAGAACCTATTGTAAAGTGAATTGACACTATATTTTGTAGACACAGCAGTGTACCACAAACAGTCGTGGATTTAGTGACCATTTTTGTTATTATTTTTTTTGAAGGGATTATTGTACCCCCAGAAAAGCAACCCTCCAATCGACTAACAACCAGGTTCCTACTTACTGCTAGATAAACAGAGGCGTGTGGAGTAAGGAAACTTGCCCAATGTTTCACCCCACTGGGAATCGAACACAGGTCCTCTCACTTGCGAGGCGAGTGCTCTAACCACTGAGATACAGGACTCCACAATAGTGTGCAGAAAACCGCCAGCTTGTTTGGTTTACCCTTACCTGCTTCAAGGCCACAGCCACACCTGCAATAGCGTGGTTGTGAGGGCCTCCCTGGAGAGATGGAAACACAGCAAAGTTGATTCTGTCTTCCAGGTCGAACATGATCTCCTTGCCAGTCTTCTTATTCACCGATTTCACTCCTTTGCGATAGAAAATCAGGCCGGCTCTGAAAAGGAAACAAGTGATTATTGTGAGCCACATGGGACCTGCATGCACTCACATTAGTACATACATTAAATTTAACTGTTCATATTATTACAAAGCACAGCAGTTGGCCACTAATTTGCACAGTTCAATTATACAGACCAGTAAAACTATTACATTTGCTCAATATACTGTGAACCTTATTGTCCATGGGGGGGGGGGGGAGAGCAAGGGTTATAAGGGGGAGCTGGGGGAGACAAACAGCAAGAGCAATCCAGATCACTATAAACTGTAAATGTTTCGAGAATTATCAATCTTCCTCTCCCATTCTCAGTGATTTGCACCAGCTGAGGCCAAAAGAATCAGGCAGACAATTACCCACCAAATCAGCTGGAGACTGGCTGACATGTTTGGTGTAATAAGCACTTTAATAATATTATAATTTTTTGGAGGGAATAATAATCCCTCCAAAAAATAATAATTTGGCTCACTCCATTGCTGTTTGTAGGACGCTGCTGTGCGCAATTGGCTGCCGAGTTTCTCCCACAAAATACACAGCCAATTCTACTTTACGATATATTCTGTGAAGCTCTTTGTGATGTCTTAATGACATGATAAGGCGCTATATCAAATGCAAGGATTATTATTATCATTAATCAAACTGAAATATTATTTAAAATGTTCTGTCTCCTTCTGCTCTTCCCTGGAAAGCGATTTCTTGTGTGGTAAACTGTATTAATATTATTATTAAAACTGAAATATTATTTAAAATGTGCTGTCTCCTCTGCTCTTCCCTGGAAAGCGATTTCTTGTGTGTTAAGCTATACCAGCAGATACTCACCTTACCCCTCGAAGAGTCTTATGGGTTGTACTTGTGACTATATCTGAAAACTCAAACGGAGATGGAATAACCTTTGCTGCCACCAGCCCGCTGATGTGTGCCATATCAGCCAGCAAATAGGCCTTCATGTCATCACAAATCTGAAAGAGGTCAAGCACAATCAATCACTTTAAAATCCTCAAACCAAAAGGTCCTCACCAAACTGTCAGTAAACCCTTTTGTTGGTGGAACAGACCCTGCGTGCTTGATCCTCTAACTTTTAATCCAAGCCTTTGGTTAAATGACAATCTGCATTTAAGGGACAGTTTGAGAACAGGAAGGACTTCTATACTGTAGCAACTCCTAATCTGTTTGCTTTCAAGTTACTGTGCAGCGGAGCACCCTCTCCCTATCCAAACTCTAATGAATTAGTTATTCAATCCATGACTGTTTGTGGGACACCACTATGCACAATTGGCTGCTGCGTTTCGCCAACAAGGTATACAGTCAATTCACTTTACAGCACATTCGGTGAAGCTCTTTGAGACGTCTTAATGACATGATAAGGCACTATTATTGTAATGACCAAATAACCTCATCAATCACCAACAGATGGAATTCAAGTGAGGCCTGGTTGCATCTTCAGGACTCTGAGAGAAGTGACCCCACCTCAGATAATTACACAGCAACCAGAGACTAAAGAGCATGTTCCCACATTCAAGAAAGAATTTAATATTAGTTAATATTAATATTAATTAGTAAATTGTCGGGTTTTTATTTTGGAGACAATGGCAGCAATCTTTCAGCAGCCTTCAATAATAATAATATTCCTTGCCTGTGATAATAATGCCTTATCACGTCTTGGTGACGCCTCAAAGTGTTTAACGGAATATACTGTGAAGTGAATCAACTGTATATTTTGGGGGTGAAACTTTCTCTCAATGGCAGCTTTCTCGCCTGGATTGAACAGGAGAGAATTCTGATAATATCACTCTGAGGATCTGTTCTGCTCTCCTGTTGAAAAGCACTTGGCCTTTACATGAAAACAGGAGGAGGCCGTTGAGCCCGTTGCTCGTGGCATGGAGGCTAGCACGCCAGTGTGTTCGTTTTTACTTGGGCAGACGTCTTGCTATGAATGAACATTGCTCTCCGCGCTCCATGGACTATGTATGCTTATTTGCTTCTGCTGTCTCCTGGACAGAGCAGTTATATAGCTAGTCATAAAACTAGATGAAGCATATCAACTAAATTGGATGTTCATCAGCTCGCCCACACAAACAATACAATCATGGGGATTTTACTTCCAGCCTGGTTAGCAAAACAAAGATGCGTTTCTGCAGCATTAGCAGCTGTGTCATTGTCAGCTTACCCCCACCCCCGGAGCAGCCCACAAGAGATGATGCGAATTAAAATCAGAGGACGTGTCTTCACCTTGTCTGCTCTGTGCTGTCTACATTAATAAAAACTCACCTTCATCGTATGCGGGAAAGAGAGAAATGTGCTGCGTTGTCTGCAGGAACGATTTAAGAAATAAAATGAAGAACGTTATAGCACACACCTTCCTCATCCTGGCGTAGTCGATCAGCCTGGAGTAAGCACTAGTCCCCGCAATGATAATAAGCGGTCGAAACAGGCGGGCTGTCTGTTCCAGACTTTCATAGTCTATCAGACCTGTAGCAGGCTAGAGAAAACAAAAAGCAACAATGACAGTTTTGTCTGCAGCTTTCCAACAATAACCTAAAGGATAAAGATAGCGCATCACTAAGCCATACAGAGCAGAAGGTCATTGGTTTGGATCTTGATATGTGCAGAGTTAGCTGATTTCAAACTGAGGTAGCTGTAATGACTTCACAATTATCCGTAAGATGCTAGGCTAGAGAGAGAAACATACACACAGAGAGGTGGTGAAAAAGGAAAAATAATCTGGCTCCATTGCTAATAACTCTGCTCAAATGTGTGTGTTTCTACGTACATGTGCGTGTGCACTGTCAGGTGAGGATATGATCAAGGCTCGGCTGTGATACACACGGCAATCAAATAGGTTACTGACTGCTCGCTATCAAGGTTCACATATGAAGAATGACTACCCGGAGACTATCAGAGAGTACCTGCACATCCCAAAGTAATGAGCCTTCAGAAGAAGGGAGAAAGTTAGCACAAAAGAGTTATTTTTGCCAAAGGGTTAAAAAAAAACTAAGCAGATTTTTCTAGTGCTATTTTAAGAACACAACTTAAATATTTGAAAAAAAACAGGAGTTTTGAGATTGTGCTGTCGGCAGAGTATGTAAATGTTTTGGAGCGGAGAAAAGGATGATTTGATAACACATCTCCAGGACCTTGCACTGTGTGCCAGCAACTTGAACTTACGTTTAATTTATAGGGCATCGATTCAAAATATATAGACGTGGCAGAAATCTTCTTAACGTCAGACATGTATCCATGTGTCAGGCTGTAACAGAAGAGCGAGAGTCAGGTGCTTAGAATTTCAAACAAGACCTGAGAGAATGAAATTGTCTTGCTCAAGTGACATGTTGATCTTTCTTCCCGGTCAGCCCACCACCTTATTGAATTTGCTTCAACCTCAAATTGCATTTCTCAGACGACCCCTCTGACCCTTTGGTGTTCCGCTTTTCTTTATTGAATTTTCTAAATGCCATTTAATGTTGAAATTATGACTCCCGGGCAACAGTGACATTGTGCCTTAACCAAGGCGGATTTCCTGCATTTATTAAAGAATGAACCACAGGAGGAGAATATTTTAGTGTTGAACAGTTATCGATGGTACGGCCTAGTAGCAACAACACAATGTTCTTAATGAAGGTGTGAAGTTTCTTGATTGCACCATAAGCCAGTTTAATAACTAAATGATCATTTTTGATCAGCATATCTTAACTTCCTCTCCTCTATATATTGTTAGACCAAGAATCAAGTGCAGACAAGAGTGCACAGTGATAATGCTGGGTGTGACAGAAATCCATGTTTTCAGCAGTCCGTGGAATCAGGAATTCTTGAGAAAGTCTATCCCAGTGTTTACGGGTTACTGTGTACCAGGTCATATTAATTAACATCGGTACCATTTCAGCATTAGTGTTTCTATCACTGCTAATATACATTATAACCGTGATAATGGTTATACTGTACATTTAAGAGTTAGTCAGACCCTTCTGGAGTACTGGATTCAGTTTTGGGCACCACACCACAGGAAAGATACATTGGCCCTGGTGGGGCTGTAACGCAGGTTCAACAGAATGTTAAACTTGGATTGTATTCCCTTGATTTTAGACGGTTGAGGTGTGATTTGATAGAGGTATTTAAGATGATAAAGGGATTCGATAGGGTAGATACTGAGAAGCTATTTCCTCTTGTCGGGGAATCCAAAACAAGGGGGCTTAACTTAAAATTAGAACCAGCCACTTAAGAGTGAAATCAGGAAGCATTTTTTCACTCAAAGTGTGGTAGAAATCTGGAATTCTCTCCCCCAGAAGGCTGTGGATGCTGGATCCATCCACACCTTCAAGAGTGAGGTTGATAGATTTTTCGTGGGTCAGGGTATTAAGGGCTATGGGGAGAAAGCAGGAAATTGGAATTGAAAGGATTAGTTGAGGTACAAATCAACCATAATCTAATTAAATGGCGGAACAGTCTCAAAGGACTGAATGGCCTCCTCCTGTTCCTGTAGCTTCGATTTGACCTTTGAAGAGTGACTGAAAGATCATCTCTCTTGCAAAAACATTGAGCATCAACAGCTGCAGTGCTTATAATAAAGTCCTAAATAATGACCCATACGGCTCATATTTCGCATAATTGTACTCATTATGTAATAATAATCCTTGCATTTGATATAGCGCTTTTCACGTCTTCTAGACGTCTCAAAGCACTTCACAGAATATACTGTAAAGTGAATTGAATGTACATTTGTGGGCGAAACGCAGCAGTCAATTGCGCACAACAGTGCCCCACAAACAGTCATGGATTGAAGTGACCAATTTATTACTGCTTTTTTTCTTGAGGGATTATTATCAGGCATGTGGAGTAAGGAAACTTGCCCAGGGTTTTGCCTTGCCTGGAATTGAACTTGCAAGACCAGTGCTCTAACCACTGAGCTACAGGACTCCACTGAGCTACATGTACACTTAATCCTGTAAAGTACCAAGCTTCTTTTATGACCGCATGGTGACATTCACTTCCTCTTCAGCACGCACAGGATTCAAGGCTTGTTTTTCATTTATAGCAGAGGAAAGATGTTTCATTTGCTTATTGATGTGACTGATTGCAAGATTGGAAAACGAAACAGAGGATATTCCATTGCTCACAGCCAAGGTTAACGTCAATCAGCCCTAAAGTCAGTTAGCCCAAGCTCCGAGTGAACCTGGTCTCCTACCTTTACCCAGGCCAGTCTGATAAATAACTTCCTTCCCCAAACAGGTCACCCTCAACGTAAGAAATCTTTTCTAATTCCTGATCAGGGAGAAAAAATCCCCCACAAATTAATGCAATCATTTGCTGCAATTTTGTTTATTTCAACACTAACTGTTGTAAGAACTTTTAAGTCTCACATGCCATTTTGTTCACTGCACAAAATCTACATTTTAACTTCCAATGATTTTACACAGAAAAATGGCAATACATTGTCTACCTCTGCACTGCATACAACTTAATATCAGCAAATTTCCCTGATGTATCCCTTTTACTCCCCACTTACCTTAGTTCCCAGCCACATCTAAGGTGTCAAGCCAGTACTGTTAAGTGCCTTGAGACATCCTCCTGACTTGAGAGGCACTATATAAATGTAACTTTGTATTGTGTTGGGTGGTTAGTTACAAGGTGATGGCACAAATATTAGGCTCATCCACCTCACAGCATAGTTTAGAATTGGCAATGCAGTTGGATAAGGAAGAGTTACCCAAATTCCCACTGGGGTGAAGCTATTCCCCTTCTCTATACACCTTTGATTTGACTGAAATAATGAGGTGGTTGACTCACTGTCCGCCATCAGGCAAGTCCAGCCCCATGATCCTGTCGTGAGGCTTCAGCACTGCTGTGTACGCAGCAAAGTTGGCAGGAGATCCCGAGTAGGGCTGAACATTCACACCCCAACGCTCTGGATCCAGATCGAAGGCTTCCAGAGCACGTTTTTGACACAGCAGCTCAATGGCATCCACAACCTCTGAACCGCCATAATACCTGAAAAAGAAACAGACCTCAAAAGGTTTCCCACCAAACTCAGCGCAGAATTTGACGAAGAAGAATTGTGCTTAATGCAATTGACAGGAAATTGTCTTTTCAACATAGGGGTATTTTGGACTGCTGCATTCATTCAGGATTTGTGTGGGGGATTGGCTCTTCAGTTACAGTTCTATTCCAAACTTAGCTTCAGGCAAAACTCAAACCTGCTGATTTCAAAGTTTGTTGGTTGTATTGAGGCAGCATTTACTTTTCTGTTACAGGTAGCCAATAGTGGGGTCATTCTACACTTGCTGTGCCTCAGGAACTGAGGTAGCATGTGAGAAACTTACTTACAACCGGCTCTTTTATTCCACACACAGCTTTCGATATGGACCAACCCAAGTAGGTTTCAGTTCTTACCTTCTTCCTGGGTAGCCTTCTGAATACTTATTATTCAGGCATGATCCAAGTGCCTCCAGAGCAGCTCGACTGCAGAAATTCTGAAAATAAGATGCAATACCTCAGTTGAAACATTCCATTATTCGCACAAAAAGCCATTGAAATCCTACGAGTATAAGCCATCGGACATTAAACAAAATGTAATTAAATTGCTGTACCATGTGAATGTTTATTTGCTTGAAATACATGATAGAGGCTTCTTGATTTGTCGAATCTGAAACGTTCTCTACTTACCATTAGATTGAATCCAGCAACTGGTCAGTTACAGGGGGAGAGGGGAGGTGAATGAACAGTTTTTTTTTTAAATCAAATTTGCAACTCCCCTGCTAATATTCTGTCAATGGGTTCTCTGGATAACAATAATAATAATAATAATCCTTGCATTTGATATAGCGCTTTTCACGTCGGGAGGACGTCCCAAAGCGCTTCACAGAACACACTGTAAAGTGAATTGACTGTATATTTGTGGGCGAACGCGGCAGCCAATTGCGCACAGCAATGTCCCACAAACAGTCGTAGATTGAAAATGACCAATTTATTATTGTTTTTGGTTTTGGAGGGATTATTATAAGGCTCTGTGTGGAGTAAGGAAACTTGCCCAAGGTTTCGCCCTGACCTGCCTGGAATTGAACTCAGGTCTCTCACTTGCAAAACGAGTGCTCTAACCACTGAGCTGCAGGACTCCACAGTGAGATAGTCTGATATTAACAGTGAGACACATCTATATAGTCTGATATTAACAATGAGAACCTCAATAGTCTGATATTTACAGTGAGAACCTCTATGTAGTCTGATATTAACAGTGAGCACCTCTATATAGTCTGATATTAACAGTGAGCACCTCTATATAGCCTGATATTAACAGTGAGCACCTCTACATAGTCTGATATTAACAGTGACACCTCTATATAGTCTGATATTAACAGTGAACACCTCTATATAGCCTGATATTAACAGTGAGCACCTCTACATAGTCTGATATTAACAGTGACACCTCTATATAGTCTGATATTAACAGTGATAACCTCTATATAGTCTGATATTAATAGTGAGCACCTCTATATAGTCTGATATTAACAGTGAGAACCATTATATAGTCTGATATTAACAGTGAGAACCTCTATATAGTCTGATAATGCGGGTGAAGTTGCTTTGAGAATTAGACACTTTAACCCAAGATGCCAAACGATTGGTGTTTCCAAAAACTCAGCATCCTGTAGGAATCGGCAAACCAGGAATTGATTAATTTTCACAGAAAGTAATACACAACTGGAAAGGATTATTTTGGTTGATGCCAGGACACTGAGAATCATTTAAACAGCAGCTTGATGATGAATAAGAACATGGTAGGAACACAGTGTGCCTCTATCTGCAAGATGTGCTGTTACACCAAGCAGAGGAAAGGAGTTAACAAGGTTGATGTCAAAATGTCTTAAGGGGTCATTATTGCTTGCTTTTTCTCCCTCTCACATCTGACCAGAGATTTGGGTTCACATCACTGTAACAAAGAGGTAGAGGAAGAAACTCTTCAAGAATACAAAATAAACACAAACATTTCCATCACACCACAGAGAGTATACGAGTTGGGTCTGATTTCGCTATAGGTGCTGAAAAGTTCATTCATTTGCAGTTAACACTGATGCAACTTATTACCAATGATTGAAATGGTTTCATCTTGTAGGTTTCTATTGGCAGCATAACTAGTTTCTAATCAACAAACAAAGATTTGTTTTAAAAAATCCTCCTGGTAGAAGCAGGAGACAGGAGTAAGAGATAAATAAGAGATAAATAAGAAATTGCAGATGGGTGGAAATAGAAAACGTTTGAAAAGGAAATGTATAAAAGTGTATGAGGAAAAAGCAAGGGAAGGGAACTAAACAAATAGCTTTTATGGTGCGTTGTCCCAGGCACAATGGGCCAAACGGTTTTCTTCTGTGCTAGAAAAGTGAGCTATGCAACAAAACCCACAGAAAACTCTTGATTCCAATGCCATGCACACCAAATGCAAAATGTAACCAAATGCACACAATCTCTGAAAAATAAAAGAAATATGCACTGAATTGAACATCGGTACGTACCTCTGAGGCAATAAGCTCGAGTCCACGGCATTGTCTGTCCTTCTCCCTCTGTACTAACTCCCACATTTCTGGGTCACTCTCAGCCAGACTTTCCTGTCCCATCCAATGTGAGAAGACTTGAGGTTGAGGGGCCAACTTGCTGTGCTGGGCTCGGACTCCAGTCACCTGGCAGCTCTGACGCAGAGGCTGAGAAGACAAATCCAGCATTAGATCCAGTGGTGAGATTCAAATCAGGCTCAAATTTACAGAGCAGAAAAGGGGGACATCCTGACCAGATCAGAATCAAGAATAGGCGTGTTACCAAACTGAGGTTTTAAAAGCAAACAGACCATGGGATCGCATGAAAGTCACATTAGGTCCTCATCTAACATCAATACACTTGCAGGACAGAGTTTGAATTTAATACCCCTATCCTCCTGTGGTTGAGTAGGCTGCCAACATTCACTACTGAAGCTCACATATGAATACTAAATAAGAGATCGAAAGAGTGAGAAGATTGGAGAAGTGGCAGTGGGAAAGTTATCCCTCCCCCATTCTCCTTCCTTGAGAATTGGAAGGGATCCAACATAATTACCCCTCTTCTGTCTGTCAATTCTCCTAGTGTTACCAAGCAATGTCAGCCATGTCCAACAGGCGAGTTTTGAAATTACCATTGCTGCGTTCATATATGATCAGGCATGCTGCCAACTTTCGCCTTGTTTTGCATACTTCAGACATTCTCACACAAAGCAGAAGCAATCAAACAGTTTGGTTAAACAAATGTAAGTTTTAAAATGTTATGGAATTCTGCCCCTTTTTCCCCACATCTTTCCTGGTGCATTGGAACATTTTTGCATTTTCTGTCAATGGTTTGACCATAGAATACTGTCAAGGTGGAGAGTTTGCTATGCTCTTTGGACCTGCAGTAAGTTTTCTCTCATCCTTTGATATCGCTCATCTTCATTCATATATTTACATGTTAATACTTGACCCAAGGTGATATGTTTGGCAAAGCCCAAAAATCTCAGAATCGAGCCAGCCCTCTGTGGCGGCATTAGTAGTCTGGTTCCTGAGCCAGAAGGGTCCACAGTTCTCCAGGGCACTGCTAATCGCGACACAGACAGCTGGCTCATCGGCAGGATTTGGAAGGGCAGACCCTTCCTTGGGGGCAGGGAATCATCCCACTCAGCTCCTGTTAACCCTGCAAGCCAAACAGGTAGGGTGGTCCTAGCTGCAGAAGCAGGGGACAAGTTTGTCAGACAGCTCTATCAATGGCCGGCTATGCGTTTTTTGCTGGGTAGACACCAGCAGTTACCCCAACACACACTCTGAGGTCCCCAAGCCTTGGCTCTTGCCAATCTGCGCCGAATAGTTTCCAGAATTAGGTAAGCAGGATTGCATTAAGACTGAAATCTGGGAATCTGCATATTTTCCTGCATTCAAACCCTCTGGCAATCCCCACAGATTTATCTAATTAAATACCCCCTTTCTTCCCCTTCTCCTACCCCACTTATATTGCAATTGTAACGCATTTCACTGTTATTTAGCTATGATTCTGTCGGAGGAAAAGGAGAGCGAAAAAAAAGCATCACTGTCACCCTTTTCAATCAACCTGCCCGACAAACCAGTCAGTCTGCTCAGCTTTCAGACCACGATCTGAATTACTGAGCCTGCCACGCATCGCAAACTCTGTCAAGGGAGCCAGCTGCTTAAATGCTGACATTCTTGGATTCAGATTTTCCTACCTTACACAAGGTCAATTTTTTTTAATGTAACCTCAACAGAAATTGAGTGAGGTCCAATATAGTAGTGAAAGGTATTTGCAATATCAGACTGGACTGTGGCTTAGTCCCTTGCTGTGAGATCCGAGAGAAAGTTCTTAGCCTAAATAGATCTGCCACGATAGGCAGCCAAGCCCACAATGAAGAAATGGCTGCATTCATACAAGCTTCAGTCACTAATGTTTCCAGCATCTTGCTGGGAAAACGCCTAGGCAATGTAAATTGCAGACTATCATTGTGAGTCACCTTTCTGGCTCAAATTGGTCGGTGCCAATTCAGTTTAGAGCCAACTGAAATTATGCCTGGAACTATGCAAATCTATGGATGTCAGTCATGGTGGTGCGAGAAAAAGAGCGTAGGGGTATATATGAATATTTTGGCTTGTGCAGTTACGACTGTAGATCAACTATACTTGGTCTCCCTTTCTTGCCCCAAATCAAACTTTTTTAAAAAATGTTATTAATGGGACATCTCCTCATATTTGGAAAGCATGAAAAACTTCTTATAAACGGTTTACATTAGGAACACAGATGAATGGAGGTGACCATTGCCCATTTGGATAGTGCCAAAGTTTAAAAAAATTATACATTGCTCCACTGAATTGATTTCTTCAGCAAGTAGTTATCAAATTCCCTCCTGAATAAGCTGTCAGAACCTGCCTGTGCCTACTTCCCTGGGTGGTGAACGCCACATATTCAATATACTCTGTATAAATTAATTAAATCAAACCTGTCTGCTCATCTTCCCTCTTCTGAGCACAAAGTCCATGTCTCCTTTTGCCAAAATGTTATCATTTGTTCCAATCAAATTTCTGCCAGTCACACGGTAAAAGCTGGCAAACAATACAAGATCCTTTTCCCTTCAAAACGTATCATGAACACAGGAATGAAGCTGCACGTTCCCCCCCACCCCCACCGCATGCAGGCAGAATACAGTCTTGTTCACTGGAACAGGATTGAAGTACTGAAAGGATAATAGTCATGTCAACCCTGTTTGGTGTTACTGCAAACGCAAGTCTTGGAGAGAAAAGGACAACTACCCAATTCCTCAGCACTTCCTTGTAAATCATGCGGCAGACAACTGCACTGATGCATGTTTCTGCATTGTCAGCTATTCTCGCAGTTATGGGTTTATACCAGTAATAAAACCAGGTCTCCAACACCAAGGTAATAAAAATCAACAGGCATTTAATGAGAACTGTTCCCACCACACGTATAGTTGGTTCCTTACACGAAATGAAAAAAAGAGCCTCAACATTTCCATCAGGTTGACCGCAGATTTTCACCTCCCTCAAAGGTAAGTGTGGGAAGTGAGAATCTGCGGTCCAGTTCCAAGTTCTTCAAGTCCCACCCTAGGTGTACAGGACAGCTTGTTTTATTCCCCAAGATGCCTCCAAGTGAGAAACACCTCATCAGGGCCACCTCCACCCTCTTTTAGCACAGCATCACTTCAGTGGTCCATTTAGGACTTAGATCCTTGCTCCCTTGTCCCTGATGATCCCAGTCAGCAGCAACTGGCACTTGGGATCAACCAGAAAAGCCTGGATCCGAACAGGTATCTGCTAATCTTTAGTCAGTTTTTCTTTCCCTCACTTTGATCAACTGGAAGGCATAAAACAGTTGAAAGCAACTCTCTCTGAGTGAAGCATTCAGCTACCCGAGCTGCAACCTTTTCATGTTTCAACTTCTTCTACACCAGACCTTGCAACCTGCGGAAGATCATTAGAGCATTTTTCCATCAACAAAGTACAAATAGAAAACAAGTACTGTAGATCCCAATCTGCAGCATCTTTCTCTACTTCCCTTCATTTCTCTATCGATCACTCCTTAATACCCCACCGTGCGTGTAGTCCCCTGGCAGCCAATTTATCATCTAGCTGTGAGTGCCAGAGCGTGTGGTCTCCTTTGTTGTTCAGCCACCCCACTGTGACACCCTCAGCTAAAACTACTGATCAATATAAAAATGTCAGGAATCACCAGTGGCTCATACGGAGCAGGAAGATAATTTCTGAAACATACCAGGAATTGAACTGACAAATAAGAGACCCCGCATGGAAACTGCAAACTCCTATTGTGAAAATTAACCCAACAGTCTAAAACAAATTATTTCTTAAGGAAAAGGCCCATCATATACGCATTCAAACACTGATTTGCTTAATCTGGAGATAGCAGATAAACACAACACACGCACCCAATTGCAAATCAAAACATTTGTTGATCGATCGATGTAAGGAATTATATCAAATATTATATCAATATCAAATAGGGCCTGATACATCTCTGTTCCCACTCTTCTTGTTACACATGAACAGTTTTGCAGTCTGAAAACTATAATATTGGTACAAAGATCCTGATTACTGTTAGCTTCCAGAGCCACACTAAACAGTGCTGAGAAATGATTAATTGGACCCTCAAAAAGTGATTCCAAGGTAAACTGCACTATAATAGTAATCCTTGTTATGTGATGTAGCGCCTTATGACGTCTCAAAGCACTTCACAGAACGTATTATAAAGTGGATTGAATGTGTATTTTGTGGGCAAAACACGGCATCCAATTGCGCACAGCAGTGTCCCACAAACAGTTGTGGATTGAGTGACCAATTTTTTTTTGAGGGATTATTATCCCAGGAAAGCAATCCCCCAATCTAACAACCTATGTAAACAGAGGCATGCGGAGTAAGGAAACTTGCCTAAGCTTTCCCCCCACTGGGAAATCTATCTATTATCTCATCACTTTGAGGAAGGCACACAAGACCAAATTACTTTACAAGTGACATGTCTTTTGGTTGGTATGGAGTCAATATATGACATTTGTAAATGCATTCCATTCCTTAATTAGGAAGAGATTAAAATATGCCTTGTCCCCATAATTTATGAATGGTAGCGTTCAAAACTGATTGAAAATGAGAGAGCCATCTTCAATTCCCACTGAGCAAGGCTGCCATAATGCTTCAAAAAATACTTCCAGAATCTCACCAACTTTGTGACAACCTCTTTGAAAAAATATTTACATATGTGGCTGCTTTGTTTTAGCCCCAGCTGTCTGCATGGAATAACCAAGCAAAGGATAGAGGAAATTGAAGGTCTTCTTAATAATAATAATCCTTGCATTTGATACAGTGCTTTTCACGTCTTCGAGACGTCTCAAAGCACTTCACAGAATATACTGCAAAGTGAATTGATTGTATATTTGTGGGCGAAACGCAGCAGTCAATTGCGCACAGCAGCATCCCACAAACAGTCATGGATTGAAGTGACCAATTTATTATTGTTTTTTTTCTTGAGGGATTATTATCAGGTGTGTGGAGCAAGGAAACTTACCCAAGGTTTTGCCCTATCGAACCCAAATCCCTCGCTTGCAAGACGAGTGCTCTAAGCATTGAGCTAACAATCAATTAAGAGGATTTATTAATCATGCAATTAACAA